TAATAGCTCAACAATGTGGCTTATCGCGTGGAAATGAATAGCAGCCAAATACTCTTAAATGCATGTTTCTATATGTGGAGGGAAAAACCAGAGAAAAATCCACGTAACCACGGGGAGAGAGAGACACCGCAAACTCCAAATATACAACAGGTGTCAGGGTTGGGATCGAACCCACGACCTCATGCATACCAGGCGAGGTAGTTAACATCTCCTTGCCACCGTGGTGCCCAAAGCTGCGGATCTCAGCAACTAGCATGGCCCCCTCTGGCTCCTATGCTTGCGAAACTTGGGCCCCTTTACAGGGCCATCTGCCTCGGCTTGAAACATTCAGACTGACCTGCTTGTGGTTTGTCCTGGGTTTAACCAGGTTGGATTGTGAGGAGCTCACAGATTCTTTAAATATCTGGATTCAGTCCCATCAGGGAGCTCCTTTGGCAGGCAAGGTTGCGTTGGCTGGGTCATGCAGCCCGCATGCCCAAAGCAGCTTCTGTTTGACTGGATAGGGGGGGCTAAATGGGCACAGCACGGGCTAGAGAAGAAATGGGCTGATGAGGTGCAGAAGGAATTAAAGCTGCGTTGACTCTGCGATGACTGTTAACCCGCGGAGGAGGTATGTAAATGATGCTAACGGGCAGCAGGAGGCAGTCGCTCTCCCAACAATAACGACGGACGGAGGAGCAACACTCACAACAACGAGCACAGTGCCGGGCGGCTAAAGCACAAGCAACCTGGCACACAGGTGTTGCATCTGGCACTCGTCTCGTCGAACTAACCTATAGCAGCTGCGCCCAGCTACGTGAGCTTCTGCCAGTGAGCCTTTGACGCGTGTTGGGTTAGCGTACGGGGAGTAGGAGTGTGTGTTTGTGCTTGGGCCTGCATATTTGGATGTGTGCGTGGGTTGCAGTAGCGTGTTAATTGTGTGTGTGTGTGGAAGGGATGGTGGGGAGGTTGGGTTTTTTCTGTAGGGTCTGTGTTATTGTGTGTATATGTGTGTGTGTGTATGTCTGTGTGTGTCTGTGTGTGTGTGGGGAGCGGTGGCGTAGCGGTTAGCGCGCTGCGCTACAAACCCGGCCACCCGAGTTCGATTCTCGCTCACGGTTAACATCGGTGACGATTATCTGAATCGGTTCTGGGCCTCCCCTAGGGCGACTCAGCCTCAAATGAGTACCTGGTACAGTGTAAACGTCGCCACTGGGAAGACAAAGGCGGCCAGGCGTGGTGCTGGCCACCCACCCCCTCGTGTGCTGTGCCTTGCTTTCATAGGTGCTCGATAACAGCGCTTGCCCCAACAGTCTGTTAAGGCTATACGGGGGATCTTTGTGTTTGTGATTGTGTCCACAAGCTTATTGTGTGCATATGTGTCTTTTTCTGTTTGTGTGTGCTTTCATTTGCATTTATGTTCATTTGTATGTGTGTGTTAATGTGTGTGTCTGTGGACTTGTATACGCATGTGTATTTGAGTGTGGTATTGTATGTTTGAGTGTGTGTAAGTGTAGTACGTTTGTGTGTGTCTTTGTTTTATCGTGCCCAGGTGCCTTTGGAACGAAAACTATTACGTTTAATCATCAAGTTAATGTAATTACCATAAATAGAGTAATGGTAATGTTTGCTCTGGTATGCAGTTATGGTAAGCTGACATGAGGTCAGACTAAAATCGCTCTTTAAGATTGTTTAAGCCCAGGCTTAAAATATATAATTATCTTGTCCTGGGATCGTTTACCGTGTAGTTATAACGTGTACGTTTACATTGTACGTGTACGTGTAGTTATAATGTGTACGTTTACATTGTACGTGTACGTTGACCGTGTAGTTATAACATGTACGTGTACTTTGTACGTGTAGTCATCAACTTCATGTTTTCTGAACCACTCTTGGGGCTCTCCCCTCTTTACCAAACCCCAGTGCGGTGAAGTATTCCCAAACAAACCCCCGACACTGCCGCAACACAGGGGGGGGGGGGGGGTGGGGGGCGTTTATAAGCAGTGGCATGACAAAGGGGTTGTAGTTGACTACGATCTTTTGAAAATCCATATTTAAATTTTCAAATTTACTTTTTTCAATTCATTTCGGAGAGACGCCCCTTTCGGAGAGACGCCCTTGGGAGTTTGTGCAGTGACGCCGACCAGCTCATGGTGATGTATTTGAGATACACTTCACACATTCCATGCGGTCGCGCGTGACCGCTATCCCTTCTCTGATAGGTCCGCGGAACTCCTCTTCCTCGTCTCGGGTACGACTTTAAGTGAGCAGCGACTTAAGAGATCTGTGTCACAAGCGTGAGAGCCACGCGGCAGCTTCAGGTGAGGCCCAGTCGACGGCTGCTTCTGCTGCCTCCGTTAAATCTGCGATGTTGGCGAGTGGGGTTCGCGACACGTCCTACAGTTCGCGATGATCTCTGCAGTTCTCGAAGTGCTCTGTGGTTCATGGACGCGCCCTACTTTTTGCGATGCGCTCTGTGGTCTACACTGCGGTCCATGGTTTAGAAAGGTGTACACGGTTTGCAATGCGATCTGTGGTTCGCAATGCGCCCTACGGCTCGCGACGCGCCCTCCAGTTCACGTTTGGCAATGAACTCAACGTTTCGCGATGCGCTGCTCCACGTTTCGCGATTCTCTCCGCACTTTTCCTGGTGTCTTGCGGCCGCTTTCCCGGGCTTCCTTTGATCGGCTGCCGCGCTGGTGAAGGTGGCGACCCAGACCCCGGCACCGTGGGCTGTGCGGACTCGACTGAGCGCGCCCGGCGGAGTTTTTTGGGGAAGGTTGCCACCGGGTGGTTTGGCGTTTGGTTTCTGACATGTGGAGGAGCAGTCACGATTGATGCGCGTCAATCCGCTGCTGGATGAGGGCCTCGCCCGCACCTTGTGCGGGTCTCCTGGACATCTGTGAAACCGACTGGGCGTCTGTGAGCTTTGCGGCTCATAGGATTCTTCCGGGATAAATCGAGATTCCGGATCACGTGACGTGGGGGGAAGGGGGTAATTTGACTGTGGCTTCATCATTTGCTGGTCAGTTGCCTGCCGGGTTGCTGATGGGTGGGCAGCATAGAAGTACAATTTAACGCTTAATTTGTTTCTGCACTTCGTTCTGATGACCACTACAGCCCTCCGCAGCTGCCTGTGATGACATCCAGAATCTGTGTTTATACTGGAAGAATCCGATGAGCTGATATAAAAGCATCTCTTTTCCACAACTCCGTTACCTGCTCAGCTCCCGAGTTCCGAGTGAGATCGGGGCGCATTCTGGGGGATTTTGGTCGCTGGCAGCAAAAGCCTCGCCGACTTTGAAGAATATTTTTTTTTGTTCAGGCTGCTGCTGCTGCTGCTGCTGCACGCCGAATGGTTTGGCCACTGAGCGAAAATTTGCCAAACCGGGAGGGCCCGGAGAAAACCCAGCAAGCGTACGAGGGAGATGACGCTTGAAAGAAACTGGCCCACAGATAAGATCGGAGGATTCCGCGGCCGTACCGATGTCACCCGGCTTGGCCGTTCAATTATTTAAGTAATTCCGTAGGTTTTTACGACCGTATCGGGAGAACGCTGCTATCAATTTCCACACGACGACAAGCCGATCATTTGTGGCCAGGTCGTGTCTGAAAAAGAGCTGTGTGTAGCTAAGTGGGCCTTAACCTGGTAAAATAAAAAAAAAATAGTGCAGTGTATTGTGTTGAGAACAAACTTACATGGGTAGGTGACCAGGTTGTGAGATTCATCTCGGTGTTCCTCCACCCTCTGATTTTCTGTCAAATCGTTGTGTTCGTGTCTGGGTCGCAAGAAGTGGCATGAATTAAAATGCGACGGGTTTGTTTTACGCAGTCAACGGTGACCGGGCTGATACCATTAACCCTTTACACTCGAGAACCTGGTTTCAGTTAGTCTACAATTAGGGCCGCCACGGTGGCGAGATGTTAACTACCTTGCCTGGTATGCAGGAGGTCGTGGGTTCGATCCCGATCCTGACGCCTGCTGCTGTATATTTGGAGTTTGCGTGTCTCTCTCTCTATCCCCGTGGTCACGTGGATTTTTCTCCGGGTCCTCCGGTTTTTCCCTCCACATTTAGAAACACGCGTTTAGAGTATTTGGCTGCTATAAATTTCCATACGATAAGCCACTTAGTTAGGCTATCATATGTGGCCAGGTGGTTTCTGAAAAAGAGCTATAAAGCTAAGTGGGCCTTACTTGGTAAAATAAAAAAAACGATGTTTAAATAGTTTAGTTCTATATGTATGTAGAACTTCTTTCACACCGTACATAGCCAACCGTGCTAATGTAAGGTGCGGGGGAAGGACAACAAATTAAACACAAAAAGCAGTTCTATTCAAATGAGTTTTCAATCTAGATGATGATTTCAAAGGGCATAGCTCCAGCGGCTTCCTAATATCGGAGGGCAGAGCGTTCCAGACGGCCGCAGAAGCGCATCCGAAAGCGGGCGAGGATGGCCGGAGCTCGCTTGACGGTTTGTGCTCCTTATAACGAGATCAGCAAGATATTGTGGTTAATCTGTGGCAAGCACTTGGTGTGTAATGAGTGCGGGGCGCATTCAGATGCAGCCGTGCCAACTCAATGCTTTGAAAGCCCGAGGCACCCGGTTCACTTCCTCAGCAGCAGTTTAATAATGAAACAAACAATTGATAAACAGACCGAAAAGTGCTTTCCGTGTGTGTGTGGGCTGCGATGATGCTGTGGATAGTACGCTGCGCTACGAAGCTGGTGGATACCCGCTCGCGACCAATAACAGTGGCGATTATTTGAAAGTGGTCTAGGGCCTCCTCTAGGTCGACTTGGTCTTTGGCGAGTACCTGGCGCAGTGTGTAAACATCAGTGCTGGGGAGACAAAGGCGGCCGGCCGTGGTGTTGACCACCCGGCCTTCATAGGTGCGACTCACTAACACTATCCTTCTTCTTGCTCCTCCTCCAACCTCCTCCCCTCCCCCCTTCTCCTCTCACCCGTCCTTCTCCTCCCCTCCCCAAACTCCATCCTGCTTCTCGTTGTCGCGACCCGCAGCTGTGGCAGGCCATGTGCGAAGCTCCTGAATGGCGGCCCCATGCCGCCTGGAGCCCTGGTCCGACGACCACCACCTCCGCCAAAAACGCCGCCGCCTCCTCCTCCTCCACCGGCGCGGCCTCCTCCGCTTCTCCCGCGAGCCCGGACGACACCCGGGGAGCGGCCCGTATCCACGCCGTGCTGCGCCGGGCGAGCGAGTGGGTGCAGGCGGTGGGCGACGGAGGGGAGCACGAGGAGGCCCTGGTGGAGCAGCTCCAGGAGGCCATGATGCAAGTGTGCCGAATCAAGGTACCGTTTTTTCTGGAGTAGAATGTGGAATGTGTTCACGTTTTTCCTGGAGTAGAGTGTGGAATGTGTTCACGTTTTTCCTGGAGTGGAGTGTGGAACGTGTTCACGTTTTTCCTGGAGTAGAGTGTGGAATGTGTTCACGTTTTTCCTGGAGTAGAATGTGGAACGTGTTCACGTTTTTCCTGGTGTGGAATGTGGAATGTGTTCACGTTTTTCCTGGAGTAGAATGTGGAATGTGTTCACGTTTTTCCTGGAGTGGAGTGTGGAATGTGGAATGTGTTCACGTTTTTCCTGGAGTGGAATGTGTTCGCGTTTTTCCTGGAGTAGAGTGTGGAATGTGTTCACGTTTTTCCTGGAGTGAAGTGTGGAGTGTGGAGTTTGGAATGTGGAATGTGTTCACGTTTTTTCTGGAGTGGATTGTGGAATGTGTTCCTGGAGAGGAATACTCTTGCCGCTCACCTACAGCATGGTTCTCTCCCTTGTCTCCCCGCTATTATACCAAAACGCAGCGCTTATTTGCACCTGTGCCTAACTTTATGTCTGCAAGCTACCCATCAGCTCCTGCAGTGATGGTCGTTGCTGTTGCCGTGTTTGCCGTTACCCACGCCGACGGCCGTGGACGTTGCCATCACGGTTGCTGTGGTGACGGTCATAGATGCTGCGGTGCCCGTGGTCATGGTGGTGGTCATCGTTACGGTGGTTGTAGTTGCACTTGTGGGGGGCGGTAGCGTAGCGGTCAGCATGCCGCCCTACGAACCAAGTGACCCGAATTCCATTCCCGCTCACGGCCAACGCCAGCTGGCGATTGTCTGAACCTGTCCTGGGCCTCCCCGAGGTCGACTCGGCCTTCATCGGTGCTACTCTCTAACAGCACTTGCCCCAACAGTCTGTTAAGGCTATACGGGGGATCTATGTCTTTGTAGTTGTCGTCGTGGCGGCCGTTGTGGTTGTTGTCACGGTTATTCGGGCGACGTGGTTATTTGTGGTTGCTGCTGATGCTGTCGTTGTGCTTCTTGCTGTGGTTGTGGCAGACGGAGGGGAGCGAGGGCCTGCGGGTCCAGCGGAGCGACGCCGTCAGCTTCCTCTTCTCCGTACAGGAGGTGGTGGAGGCGTGGGCCGAGGAGGCGCCCCTCGTAGAACCTGAAGGGCCCCCCCTCGCAGAGCTCAACAAGATCACGGGTAGAGCCCCCCCCCCACCCCGGTCCCCCAACCCACCCCCAAACCCACCACTTCCCCCCCACTCCCCCCCACCCAGTGGCACGCACTAGCACTCTTACCCTCACCCCAAAGACAAAGATCCCCAGTATAGCCATAACAGAACTATTGGGGCAAGTGCTGTTAGCGAGCACCTACGAAGGCCGGCACGGCACACGAGGGGGTGGGTGGCCAGCACCACGCCCGGCCGCTTTTGTCTCCCCAGTGGCGATGTTTACACACCGCACCAAGGGACTCATTTGAGAGTAGGGGAGGCCAAGGGCCGGTTCAGATAATCGTCACTGGTGTTGGTGGCTGTGTGCGGGAATTTAAATCAGAAATCGCCGGGTTCGTAACGCAGCGCGCTAACCACTATTTTACTACCGTTACCCCCAACACACATTGTATGTATGTTGAACTTCGTTTGCACTGTACGTAGCCAACCGTGCTAATCTGAGGTGTCGGAAGGACAACAAACTAAACATAAAAAGTAATTCTAAAGAAATTAATTTTCAATTTATAAATGAGTTTGCAATTTATGAATGATTAATATATGAAACACTCTGCTGACACAACAACAAAAGCAACCACCGCCATTTTCCACCAAGTGGCGGTGATGTCACCAGCACAGCGCTTGTGCCAGGCTATGTGCACTTTTAAGGCCACGTGAGGTGTCGAACGCCCGCTGGCAGGAGGTCACGGGACAGGCCCAGGTGCCACGGGTTGACCGACTGAGATGACAGGCAGATGCACCACCTGCGCCCCCTACTGTCCATTGACATGCACACGCGCACACGCACACACACACCGCAATCCTCACCCCCCGCAATCCTCACCCCCCTCCCCCACCCCGCCACCCCAGAGGAGCTGAGCGAGCGCCGCACCGACGTGCTGCTCTCCCTGCTGAGCGGCGAGCTGAGCTTGTGCCCGGCCCGCGCTCGCCGCCTCGCCTCCGCGCTCTCCTCCCTCCTCCTGCGCCTCGACTCGGTGGAGGCGCAGGGCCGTCAGGACGTGCGGCGTCGCCGGCGAGCCGCCGTCGCCCGCACCGAGCTCCTGCTGCGCCAGGTGGAGCCGTGGACGCGCGGCGCCCACGACCCCAGCGACGGGGCCCCACGTGACCCCCTGCAGGGTCACCGCGCCCTGCCGGAGATCCGCGGCGTCGCCGCCGAGGCCGAGGACATCAAGCGGCTGCTGTTGGCGCTTCCGATGAGGACGACGGTGGTGACGGCGGCGGCGGCGGCGGGAGTCGTGGCCGACGGCGGGCCGCGTCCGCCGAGGTTCCGGCGCGCTCGTCGCCGACGCCTGTCCAACGGGTCGAAGGCTCGCGGCAAACACGTCGGAGGTTTGGCCACGGGGGGCGGGGAGGTGGACGACGAGGCGGAGGCGGAGGAAGACGATGAGGAGGAGGAGGAGGAAACGGAGGAGGAGGGGGGGGAGACGGAAGAACGGGCGGAGGAGGCGGGGGAGGAGGAGGACGACGAGGGTGAGGAGGAGCGGCTGATCCCGCGGGCCGAGCGCCGCCTGCTGGCGCTCATGGATCGGTTGGACCGCGTGGAGAGCGGGCGCAACCCGTACGTGCGGCAGGGCCGGCGGCGCGCCGTGCTGGAGGTGCAGGGGCTGCTGGCGCACACGGAGCTGCGACGAGCCGTGGCCGAGGGGAGGGCCAGGCAGGCGGCGGCGCCTTCGGCGGTGGGAGAAGACGGACGTTCGTCGCCCGTGTCGCCCCTGCACCCGGCGGAAAGGGCGATACTGCAGGTGACTCCTCGCCCGCCCGCCCACCCCGGGGGTCCCTGGTCTCGCCGGGGGCAGAAGGGAACGTTCGGATACCGTTGGCGGGGCCACCCGTTCGCGCGCACACGTCGGCATTATCCAATTACAAACGCGACAGATAATTAGGCTCGCCGTTACTCCTTAGCCGCGCCGTAATTAGAAACACGCTGGTGCCAACTTGGGGGAGTGTGGTGAGTGAGAATGTGAGTGGGAGGGCGAGTCGGTGAGTGAGTGGTTGAGCGGGTGAGCGGGTGTAAGTGAGGGGGCGCCCTGGTGGGGAGATGTTAACGACCTAGCCTGGTATGCATGAGGTCGTGGGTTCGATCCCAACCCCATCTCGTTTTGTATACGTGGAGTTTCCGTGTCTCTCTCTCCCCGTGGTCGCTTGTATTTTTCTCCGCGACCTTCGGTTTTTCCCTCCACATTTAGAATCAACATCACGTGTCTTGTTAATATAAATTTCCACGTGAAAAGCCACTTCATTGGACTATTATTTGTGGCGAGGTCGCTTCTGAAAAAGAGCTATACACAGGTCAGTGGACTTTACCTGGTAAATTAAAATAGTTTAGTAGAGTGTGTTGTTGTGACCAGCAGTGGTGGTGGTTGAAGACAGTGCAGATTGTTATATAGGGCGATCTTTGTCCTGGATTTGTGTATGGGTATAGGGGGGGGGGGCAGTGGTGTAGCGGTTAGCGTGCTGCACTACGAAAACGGCGACCCGAATTCGATTCCTGCTTATAGCCAACACCCAGTGACGATGATTTTGAACCGGTCCTGGGCCTCCCCCAGAAACTACCGTGCCGGCCTTCCTAGGTGCAACTCGCGAACGGCACTTGCCCCAACGGTCCGTTAAGGCTACACGAGGGATCTCTGCCTTTGCCGTGCCGCCGCAGGTGCTGCTGCAGCTTTGCTCGCTACAGAGGGAGGCTCTGGCGTTCCGGGGTGACAAGGCGGAGCGGGGCTACGCGCTGCTTGACGAGCTGCTCACCAAGCAGCTGCTGTCGCTCGACGCCGTGGACACGGCCGGCTGGGCGCACGGCCGGGAGGCGCGGCGGCACGCCGTGCGCACCGCGCAGAGCGTCCTCGCCTACCTGGACGCCAAGTCGGACGATCCGGAGGACTAATCGGCGACGACGATGAAGACGACGACGATGACGACGATGACGACGACGATGATGACAACAACGACGACGATGATGCCTGTGCGCACACGCGTGCCCCACGCATGCGTTCATGCTCATACTTTTGCGCGTGCGTGCGTACGTACGCACTCGTGCACACCCGCGCTTGCACGCGCGCCCGACGTCACTCTCGCGTGTGCGCGTGCACCCAATCGCGCACGCACGCTTTGACCGCGTGCACGGACGCGTGTGTGCATGCGAACACCCTCGCGTGCATGCCCGTACACTTGTCCACATTTGCTCGCACCGTTCATGCATTCATGCTGTCGTTCTGATATTTGATTTGTCTAGGTTATGATTGATTTATTATACAAAATCTCAAAAGCCAGCCTCATTGTCCAGATTATTTGCTTTATCGCACGCCACGGATGGCTTTGACACCGTACTGCCAAGCACACAAACAGATATATATTTTCATGCAAACAAGTCTCTTAATAAAAAATGCCAGTCATCAAATACGCAACTGATACTCAGTCCAAAGAATACTCGATACCGTTACTGAAAGTGAAAACTAAAATAAATTAATCGATGGCTTAACTCAGAGTTTAGGTTAATCGGGTATCACCCAGTGCACATCTTGATGACTTTGATAAGCCACACAATGCCACAAAGTCAATCGACTTCGCCCATTGTTATTTTGTCCACACGCTAAATTCAGAATACCACTGCCACCGCAGACCGAGACTTTTGTCGTCTTAACGTTTCCAGCGAGTTTCAAGATGTCACAACCAGATAACCGTGACGGGGTAGCTCAGAGCGTCGGGGAGTGAAAACTGTAAACTTTTCACCATTTCAGGCACTGTTCGTAGCGGGTGGGTGGCTTCTAGAGCTACCGTCACGGTGGCGAGATGTTGACTACCTCGCCTGATGTACAGGAGGTCGTGGGTTCGATCCCGACCCTGACGTCTGCTGCTGTATATTTGGAGTTTGTCTCTCTCCCCGTGGTCAGGTCGTGTTGATTTTTCTCCGGGTCCTCCGGCTTGCCCCTCTACATTTAGCATCGTGCATTGATATGATTTACAGTATTCGGCTGCTATACATTTCCACGTGATAAGCCCCTTTGTTGGGCTAATCATTGGTGCCAAGGTCGCTTCTTAGAAAGAGCTCCGTGGGCATTACCCAGTAAAATAAAAATATATATTTTAATAGATTGTATAGAAGGCGACACGGCAGACGTCTATAAGAGGAGTCTTCCGTGGCTGGTCAATGTGAAGTCGATGGACAAGCCTTCTGCTCATTCTGATTGAGACAATTAGCATTTAACCCTGAGACAATTAGTAGTTAAGGGTATATCCATGGCAACGCGCGAGCTCAGTAATTCACTAGCTCGCTCAGTCACGGATTAGCTCGCTCACTCGTTCGCTCACTCGCACACACATCCCTCATGCGTGCACTCACCCGCTCGCTCACCCGCTCGCTCACCCGCTCACTCACCCGCTCACTCGCCTGCTGGCTCACCCGCTCAGTTCACTCGCTCAATCGCCCGCTCACCCGCCCACTCATCCGCCCGCTCATCCGCTCGCTCATCCGCTTGCTCACCCTCGAGCTCACTCAACTGCACACTCACCTGCGCCGCCTACTCATCTTCCCACCCACTCATCTACCAACCCACTAGCACCCACCTGTTAACTCGTGCACTCGCTCACCTATCCACTCACGCGTGCACGCATCCACGCACACGCTTTATGATACGCACACACAACTAGCCTTGCTGGCTTATCATTATGTAATAATTACACACATGTACACATACACTCCTGTACATGCGCATACAATCATACAGATACACACACACTCATGTATTCACATGTTTGTACTTACGCTTTATAAACTTCTATTCAGACATAGACTCAAATACACACATATACACACACACTTAAATGCACACATACATACACTCATATACACATACAAAATATACAGTACTCATATACACACGGACACTTATGGAGACATACATTAACTACATATAACAAACACAAATATTGCCCATGTAGCTCACACAGCCTGTTGGGGCAAGTGTTGTTTGTGAGCACTTGTGAAGGCCAACACGGCATAAGAAGGGGGTGGCGTGGCCAGCACCACGCCCGACTCACCAGGTACTCGTTTAAGGCTGAGTCGACCTAGGGGAGGCCCACAGGCCGGTTCAGATATGACGGTCAAAAGCGGGACAAACTCGGGTCGCCGGGGCCGTCACGCAGCGCGATAACCACTGCGCCACCGCTCCGCCCTGCGTACAAAATTCACGCACACTCTTAAACGCATGGATGTGACAAACGTACACACCCATTAACACACCCAATAACGTACACACACACTAACGTACATACCCACTAACACACACCCACTAACGTACACTCGTGTACACGATACTCGGAACACATAATTTTTTTGTTACAGCCAATGGGGTTCACAACTGATTTTCCTGTTCGTATCTAATGACCAAATCTGGTTGTCAGGATTTCTCTTCGTCTCACCAGTGAGGTGAGCTGACGTTGGTTACAATCGGCACGTCATTGATCAACACACGTGCGCACGCGTCGAGCAATCCGTTTGGCTGTGTCGGGTGGTGGAGGGTTCGTAACGACGCGAATTTTGGTCAGATTTATTTTTGGGATGGTGCGTTGGCAGTGAGTGCACGAGCACAAATAACAACAGCGCCTCGACACGTTCGTCAATAAACACTGCGGCCTTAGAAAGAAAAAAGTAGAAAATGGGCGACGTTTCGGGTAATGGCCCTTCATCACAGCGCATAGGCCAGGTTGGTCAGATCATTACGTGACCGAACCAAAATACCAATTATGAATTACAAAGATAAATTACCCTCCCTCCCCCCTCCGGTATAGCCTGTAAAAGACTTGGGGCAAGTGCTGTTAGCGAGCGTCTCTGGAGGTCGACGCGGCGCACGACCGGAGGTGGGTGACCAGCACTACGCCCGGCTGCCTTTGTCTCCCCAGTGGCGATGTATTGACATGCAGCACCGGGTACTCATTTGAGGCCGAGTCGACCCCGGGGAAGGCCCCAGGACCGGTTCGGATGATCGCCACGGTTGCCGGCTGCGAGCTTGCAGGGAATCGATTTTGGCTCGACCGGGCGTCCGTGGCGGGGCGCGCCGACCGTTGTGCCACCGCTCCCCGCAACGGTGAATTACCACACAGGTCACGCAGCATCCGCTCTCCAACACGTGGGGAAATGCACGGGGGGGGGGGGCCAGGGGTGGAATGGGGACCCCCCCCAAAACAAAACTGACCGTCAAACTGGAAATGTCTGCGTGTGTGTAACCGTTAGCCCGTGGCTCTCGTCTCTTATCGCATTTCTCCCTGCAAGGACTGCGCACATGGGGTCATATTGAACGCTATTTAAAGCGCACGGGGTGGGGGTGGGGGGGGAGTAGCTTGCTTGTAGTGCCTGGCCTCTGCCCCGTGCTGCTTCAGAGGCAGACACAACCCCAAAATGTGCAACGGCTCGCGCGTCTATCTCGTGCGTTCGTGCGTTTGCGTTTGCCCAGGCTGGGTCGGCTGCGTACACGAATATTCGGCAAATGTTTGTCACTCCCAGGGAAAGCGGAATATTTTCTCCGAACAGTGAACGCTGTTAATTTGTTTCCTTGGTTTAGAGTTGAATCTGTTCGGGTTAGGAGTTGAGGGTTAGGGTGTACTTTTAGGCATTTGATGTAGGGTTAGGTGTAAGATATTTGGGTGTTAGATATTTTGGTGTAGAAGGTTGGGTTAGGGCTTCAGAGTTAGGGTAAGAGTTAAGGGCATACTGTTAGGGTTTGGCGGCTAATGTTTGGGGTCAAAGTTCAGAGGTTATGGCTTAGAGAGTAGAGGTTTAGGGGTTAGGCTTATGGGTTAATAGTAGGGCTTTGAGGTTTTAGAGCGTATTAGAGTTATAGGATGAGGGTTAAAGAGGCGAGCGATCAGGATCGAGGGTAGGTTTGGCACTATGTTGGTTCGGGCAAAGTTGTGACCGACAACCGACGATATGGAACGCGATAACTTTACACTGAAAGCAAACTGAGCAACTGCTTGACCAGCGAGTTTGGGACGTGGCCTTAAACACGGAAACGTGTCTGTTCAAAAGTTCGCGGGTGTTAAGTCAGAGGTTGGGGCTCAGCAAGTCTCCTCCATTCAGAACAAAAACATGCAATGTTATTGTCTGGTGTAAATATTAATACAATACCATCGATTTGGACTTCGGTGTAAAGAATGGCCCCGATGGATGCCATGTCACTTGCAAATATCTATTTAATCGGCAACTCCACGGCAGCCGAATCATCGCACTGATGGGGGAATGCACGGCGGCGCCTTGTGGTCGGCTGTTGGTGAGAAAGGCAGTTTATTTTTTGGCAAATATACAAGTTGGATGATGATGGTCCTGCGTTGGCAGCGATGCACAGCAGCAGCAACAACACACTCAATAACACATTCGTCAATGACACTCGCGTCAAAAGGAACTTATTTTTTATATATATAACAGGTGACGCCCGTGTGCCATGGAGAAGGCCTATTGCCCAGAACGTCCCTTCGCTCGTTGCTCAGCCCGCTTGTCCTGGCGAGGGTCGCGGCGGCAGACTCCAGCACTACTACACTACACTATACACTACTATACTATAGACTACTATACGATATACACTACTGCACTATACACTACTATACACTACTATACTATAGATTACTATACAATATACACTACTGCACTATACACTGCTATACACTACACTATACACTACTATACACTACATTATACACTACTACACTATACACGACTATATGCTATACACTACTACACACTATACAATATTACACTATACACTACACTATACACTGCTATACACTATTACACTACTATACACTATATACTACGACACTATATACTACTATGCGCTACTACACTATACACGACTATACACTGCACTACTATACACTATACGCTACACTATACACTACACTGCTATACTCTACATTACTACACACACACTCTAGCTCTTCCTGGGGTAATTCCCAGGCGTTCCCAGGCCAGCCGAGCGACATAGACCCACCGCTAGCGTGTCTTGGGCCGGCCCCGGGGTCTCTTCTATATATATTGAACATTTTGATGGCTGTTTTCATGACCAACGTGTTGAGGTTATGTAAACAACAAAACATTTTATTTGAAGATCGTAAACTCACCAGATTTGCACGAAAACTTTTGTATCGGCGTGAGCAGAGGTTTTGATTTCGTCTTTTGAAAGTTGAGGGGTCCGCGGATTTGGCGAGATACACTTTGTCATCGTCACCGACGGCCAAGCGAAGGATCAGGATCGCGGCGGACGTCCGAGGGTCAAGGACGTCCGGTCGAGGAGATGGAGCGATGGAATCTGCGCGCATGCGGCCGTCGACCCCCGGATGCCGCCGTGGGAGGCGTCGCAAGGTCGTGAGAGCGGACAGGTCGCTGCTGATAACACTGGTCAACAAAAACAACACATTTTTTTCTGGCCTGGACTTTTGCAGCTGTTTTAGACTAATTTCAGGGTGCTGATTCCAAATCTGATCTCAGATTTGCTCTATCACATCTCATTTTATGCTATCGGCATATCCCATTTTCATTGATTTTACCCGAAATTAACTCTGTCACTTATGATTGCAAGTTGTTGCGAGTCAGTGACTGCTTTAGTGTTAAAATACGGTGCTGTATTTTTAGGATAGTGTGTTTATAATATCATTTTATGTAGATTTCCACATTCATTCAATATTTTTCTTCTGCAGTTTTTATTGAAAATGCAATATTTGATATCTCTAAAACCTGATGCCAGATTTGGAATCAGCACCCCACAATTACCTTAAAACCGTTGGAATACCTTTTAACCAGAAAAAGTGTGTTGACCAGTGTAATCGTAACAAATCAGTACGCCCTGCACGCCAATGCTCCCAAATCAGTTGAACGCACACGTTGGCTTTTGCGACCATTGTAGAGTATTTTTGGGGGGGTTTGATTGCGTAAGTAAAAACGTGTCGCCTTGTTTACTATTCTATTTAGGATTGATATGGAGCGCGCTTTCCACGGCACACCTCACTGATCGGCTGCGTCGGGTGGTGGCGGGTTTTCGCGATCTAGCCCCAAAGACCTCTCGCCATGCTCGCCAATCATCCACCAGCGTGGTGGTGGAAGTGCGGTCGCGAGAGAAGTCACCCCGCGTGGCCCGCAAGACGTGCGGGGAGGCTCCTCGTACAGCAGTGGACCGACAAAAAAGAAACGCGCGCTCATGTACGCGCACAGCTGTTTTTGGGGGCTTACATCTTCCTGCAGGATTGCTCGCGATTCTTAACCATTCCACCACATCTTCTTAGTTCTTTCGGTAAAGTCACGTAGAATGGAAATAATAAAATAATAAAGACTCTGTCTTCTCGACAGACCTGTTCTTCACCTGAGGACGGCTGCTTGCGTTGTGGCCGAAACGTCGTGTGAATTATTTTATTATGTTTTATTTTTATTATTTTATTATTTCCATTCTACGTGACTTTACCGAAAGAACCAAGAAGATGAATCCCTGCAGTCACGAAAGCTTTACATCGAAACATTCCATCACATTTCATCCCAGTCCTGGTATATTCACATGCCCTGCTGTTTCCTGCTGCCGCTGCTCCTCGACCGATGCTGATATTGATGCTGACGATGCATTTGCACCTTCGAATTTCGAATGTATAACGGGGGGGGGGTAGGGGGGTTCGTGGAGTTGGGTTGTGTGGGACTGTGTGGGTTGAGCGCGTGCAAAGAATGTTGACACGTGGGCGCGCGAATTGTGGGAGAAACGAGAAAGTCTGCGTTGGTTTTGCGCGTTTCCAGTTTGTGTTGGAATGAGGGCTGTAATCGTACACGCTGCCATCTGTTGGTCGTGTGACAGATTTGTTTCGTGTTTTTTTTTGGGGGGGGGACCGGTGGTGGGAGTGTTAAGAGTGGATGGAGTGGAGTTGGAGGGGGGTGGGTGGGTGGGGGTACTGACGTGGACACGTGGACACAACGCACAATCGTTTCTTGACGCCCCCCACCCACCACAATCATAGCACATTTGGCAGTCGAGTCAACGCGCAACGTTGGGTCGACGTTGTTGGTTGACGTTGGGGCAACGTTGGTTGACGCTGAGCCAACGTTTGTTGACTTTGGGCCGTTAGGTGACGTTGGGCCAATCAATGTTGCGAGTTGACTGGAATTTACCGACACAAAACAAAAACGAATCGATCATAACGATCGCACGATCTACTCGTCGAACAGAGAGTTAGTTGCACGTGTTGTGAAGCCACTTGCACCGATTTCGCACCACGAAATTGCCGATCTTGTGGCGAGCGAATCGGCTGGGAGCTGTCGCCGATCTCTGGCCAGATGTCGCCAGCGAAGCAGCAGCGTTGGACACCCCCCGGGATCGGTGCTTGGTTGCGAGCGACCCGTCGTGCTTGTCGGGAAGCGAAACACAACAACAACAACACGAGACAGGAGCAGGTGGAGAAGATTGATGATGAAGACGCAACAATCGAGAAACGACGAAAAAGTTGTCGGTGATCAAAAATAAATCCAAACCCCCCCCCTCCACATCTCACAAAGAATCGAACAGTAATCGAATCTCTGGGGGGCAGGGAGTGGGGGTTTAGGGTGTGGGTGGGTGGGTGGGTATGCATTCTCATTTTGAAACTGCAGCTCCTGAACAACTGCCCCCCATCCCACGTCTCGCCCACCCACCACGCCACACCACCCTCCTCCAAATCCTCCCCCCACGTAACCTCGAGTAATAAAAGTCATTGTTCATCCACTCCAGCTGGTCCGCCTCGTGCACCGGGGGTCTCTGATGGAACGTTGATGTTGCTGATGCAGCCGCTTGGAGTGGCTTGTGCTGCTGCTGCTGATGATGATGCTGGTAGTGGTGGTGGCAGTAATGATGCTGATGCTGCAGGTGCTCGTGATGATACTGTTGGTGGTGCTGTTAGTCGTTGCTGATCATGCTATTGATGTTGCTGGCGGTGCTGCTGATGATGCTGGTGAGAATAGTGATGATGGTGGTGCTGTTAGTCGCTGCTGATTATGATATTTATGTTGCTGGCGGTGCTGCTGATGATGCTGGTGAGAATAGTGATGATGGTGGTGCTGTTAGTCGCTGCTGATTATGATATTGATGTTGCTGGCGGTGCTGCTGATGATGCTGGTGAGAATAGTGATGATGGTGGTGCTGTTAGTCGCTGCTGATCATGCTATTGATGTTGCTGGCGGTGCTGCTGATGATGCTGGTGAGAATAGTGATGATGGTGGTGCTGTTAGTCGCTGCTGATCATGCTATTGATGTTGCTGGCGCTGCTGCTGCTGATGATGCTGGTGAGAATAGTGGTGGTGATGCTGTGGTGATTCCGACGATGCAGGCGTTTATCCTGACGAAGCTGGCGGTGATGCCGATGCTGTTGGCGACACTGCTGATGCTAGGCGATGATGATGATGCTGCTGATAATAACGCTGCCGTTGCGATGGTGCTGGTGGCGCTAACACTGATGACGCTGGCAACGATGATGATGTCTGTGATGATGTTTGCTGGTGCCACGTGGTAACGCTCGTGCGATGCGGACAGCGGTTGCGATGGTGTTGATAACGGTGAGAAGGATCGGTGGTGATGGCAATGCAAATGCCGTACTGATCATGTCTGGCAGGGTTGCCCAAAACACGTGGTTACTTGGCAAGACCTCTCCTGCTCCCACTCCACATCCTCCCATTGCTCTGCCCACTTGTCCATAACCACGCGCCCATTCAGTCGCTAGCCCCGCGCGCATCGTTCGTGGACCAACATCGTCTCGCTCGGTTTACCCGTAACACCACAATAAGACAACACACACACTCGTTGGTTCTTTCGGTAAAGTGACGTAGGTAGAAAATAAAATGGATCACGACGTAATCCAGCAGTTCCACTACTGGATTATATTTTTTTCGCCTGAGGACGACCGCTTGTGTTGCGAGCGAAACGTCGTGATCTATTATTGTATTTTCTACCTACGTGACTTTACGGCCATGTGATGCGAAGTGAAGAGTCATCAGTGGCCAAGACTGCCATGCGTATTGAGCCAGAGGGCCGCCGTCCACGCGGACGTCCGAAGAAGCGATGGACGGATCGAATAAAGCAAGACATGAAGACGGTCAACGCATCCCCTGAAGATGCCCTGGACCGAGCCAAATGGAGAAGACAATGCCGAAAAGCGGACCCTGCGCCACAGCGGGAACAACGCTAGGAAGAAGAGGAAGTGACTTTACCGAAAGAACCACAGAGTATGGATTCCTGCAGTCACGAAAGCTTCAAATCAAGACAACACGCGTCCTTCGCACACCCGTCCCTCCACATTAACAACACTCATCATTTGTGTAAACACCCCCATCAGCCACGCGGTTCTCTGAGAATGCGTAATTTCAGCATCTTCGGCCCGACACAAGCGACACAACGCCGGACGTGTTGCGACATTTACAGCGTCACATCAGCAGCCCCGTGGGTCTGCTCCGTGAGCTCTTGGCGGACGAGCCCCTTTCGCGCAATAGCCCGAGGCTGCACCTAGCCTGGCACACCGGGTGCCTTTCGACGATGTCGGCGTAACCGCGTGGCGAATGTTGGCCTCCTGCCGGCGTTTACAGTGTTGTGGTATTTTTCGATTTAAAGCTTCTTTCGTGACTGCAGGGATTCATCTTCTTGGTTATTTCGGTAAAGTCACGTAGAATGGAAATAATAAAATAATAAAAATAAAACAATATATTATTTTGTTATGTTTTATTATTTTTATTTTATTATTTCCATTCTACGTGACTTTACCGAAAGAATAATAAAATAATATATATAATGTTTATTTTATTTTATTATTTCCATTCTACGTGACTTTACCGAAAGAATAATAAAATAATATATATAATGTTTATTTTATTTTATTATTTCCATTCTACGTGACTTTACCGAAAGAACCAAGGAAAAAAAAGTGTTGTGGTACATTGGGGTTTTAGTCTCCACTCACGTGGGATTATTTTTAGCGGAGGCTCACAATGGTTTAGCAAAGCGGCTTTCAGAGAGCGTGGAGACCCTAAACCCCTTTGGGTATGTGGGGGGAGGGGGGGTAAGGATTGGGCCGTGTGTGTGGCTGTGGGGAGAGAAAGGCGGCCGGGCGTGGTGCTGTTCCACCCACCCCCTTGTGTGCCGTACCGGCCTTCATAGGTGCTGCTCGCTAACAGCACTTGCCCCAACGGCCTGTTCAAGCTATACGGGGCATCTTTGTATTTTTGTCTGCGGGGAGCGGTAGTGTAGCAGTTAGCGCACTGCGCTACGATCCCCGGTGACCCGAGTTCGATTCCCGCTCACCGCCAACACCAGTGACGATCTGAGCCAGTCCTGGGCCTCCCCTAGGTCGACTCAGCCTCAAATGACTGCCTGGTGCGGTGTGTAAACGTCGCCGCTAGAGGGAGACACGAGGCGGTCCGGGCGTGGTGCTGAACGATTTGGGGAAAATGTCAAATTGCCATTTTTCTGACAGAAATTGCGATTTAATTTGATTTGCAATGCAATTAAGTCAAGCTTCAGTTCAATATTCACTGTGTAATAGATTAAAAACATGTGATGGAGCATTGCCACATGATACCATCAAAATATGAACTGCTCTATATATTCTAATGCAAGTATGAGAACTTAAAATATATTAATTGCTTCCAAAATGTATTTATTAAACATTTTAAATTGAAATACAACAATCAAACATATAACAATTGCTACGTTAAATAAATGAAGTTATAATAAAAAAACTATTCCAATAAGAAAGTAATTGGACTTTCCAAATCGCAAAAAACATGCTCACCAAATTGTTCGTGTGTTCTGTACGTTGAACTTCTTTCGCGCCGTACGTAGCCAACCGTGCTAATAGGACGTACAATTATGACTAATTGAACGGAACCTCTGCAATGACTGGCATTCAGCGCGTGCACTTGTGTGTACGTTGAACTTCTTTCGCACCGTACGTAGCCCA